TTCTTGACAGACCAACTTTGGTCGCTAAAGTTTGATCGCTTTTTTCCGGAATTCTAGTAGTGTCTATGTTTGAACAAACAAGCCATGCACAAACCGATTAACTTTTTTAGAATGGGGTGATCAGGAACTAAAACATAAATTAAACTATTCAACTGAAAACACAAGTAATAAGATTGGATTTACTCAAATAAGGTTAAGCATAGCATTGCTCACTCTATATATAGCTGATTAGTAGAGTTTTTATCAAATTATCTCCCTCAATTTGGTATTATTATGCTCTAGCTCTCATTATACAATAATCGAATAGGTCGTTTTGAGTTCAGTCATTTTGTTTCATTGTTTGAGACTTCTAGTAAGTTTATTTGGTGATTCATAACCTGCGGGTATGAATGGCTCGGGTCCCAGGGGTTCGGGAGTAGAGATACATGAAGAGATGTGTGCATGTGCATAATCTGACTACGGTTACAATATGTAATCCAACATACAAATAGCACATCATGTCCAAATATATTACAAGTCTAGATATGATTTCTAGCATGAATGACAATACTCACGCGGTCATGCAAACAAGTAAAGCATATCACAAGTAAAACATGTATGAAACCAAGGTATAAAGAAGCCTAAAATCTACCCCAAATATGGTACAACCTCGACCCCTACATATGTGCTCGCCACTTCGCATATACATTAACCCAAATAAGTAGAATGTAGCACAAAAGTTAGTTTTATGAAAAAAGTTCCCATAAGTAAAGGTTAAACTAGATACTTTTCTTTTTTCTCTGGCTAGCTATCTTCTTCAAAATTCGCCTTTTTTAGATCTAAATTCGTCGAACGAGTCCGATCTAGCCCAAAAAATACTCAATGAAGCAAACAACAACAACAATATCAATCTAGTGGGATACCGCAAGTGGGATCTGGGGAGGGTAATGCGTACGCATACCTTACCCCTACCCTGGAGGGCAGAGAGGCTATTTTCGAAAGATCCTCGGCTTGAGAGGAAGAATATGAACAAGTAAATAACAACAACCAGATCTGAAAAATAATATCAATAATGTAAGGACCGGAGAAAAATAAATGGAAGAAAGCAGTAGCAATAGCAATAGCAAAAATAAAAGCCATAAGCAGTAACACGACAGGGTACTAGAAAACTGAAGTATAAGATAGTACTAAAATAATTCTAATACTGGCATTCTAAGAATCAAAGACAATGTACTGGTCAGCTAGTCCTATTAAACGTGGAACAGATCAAAAAAACATACGACGACCTATTATCCTTTTATCCTAATCTTCAACCTCCATACCCTCATGTCAAGGGCCAATGTCCTCGGTAAGATGAAGTCACGCTATGTCCTGACTGATGACCTCTCCCCAGTACTTCTTAGGTTGCTCTTTACCTCTTCTCATACATGCCAGTGCCAGCCGTTCACACCTCCTTACTGGGGCATCTAGGCTTCTCCTTCTCACATGCCCGAACCATCTAAGCCTCGCTTCACGTATCTTATCTTCCATAGGGTCCACACTCACTTTCCCCCGAATAATCTCATTCCTAATCTTGTCCAACCTAGTGTGCCCGCACATCCATCTCAGCACCTCATTTAGGCTATGTTCATCTTCTGGATATGAGAGTTCTTGACTGGCCAGCATTCTGTCCTATACAGCATAACCGTCTAACCGCCGCCTTGTAGAACTGACCCTTATGTTTTGGTGGCACATTCTTGTCACACAGAACGACGGATTCTAGTCTCCATTTCATCCACCCTGACCTTATACGGTGTGTGACTTCCTCGTCAATCTTCTCGTCCCCTTGGATAACTGACCTGAGATACTTGAAACTTTCCCTCTTGGGGATGACTAGTGAATCAAGCCTTGCATCTATATCTGCTCCCGCTGACACTACACTGAACTTGTACTCTAGGTACTCCGTCTTCATCCTACTCAACTTGAAACCCTTAGACTCTAAGTTCTATCGCCAAGCCTCCAACTTTTTATTGACACCATCTCGCATCTTATCAATTAGCACGATGTCGACAACGAATAACATACACCATGGTAACTCCCCTTGAATATGATGCGTCAGTATATCCATTGCCAAAGTAAATAAGAATGGGCTGAGCACAGATCCTTGGTGTAACCCCATCCTAATTGGAAAATATTCTGAGTCTCCTCCCACTGTCATCACCCGAGTCTTAGCTCCATCATACATATCCTTAATCACTCTAATGTACGCTACAAGAACACCTCTAGCCTCCAAGCATCTACAAATGACCTTGATTTTGTCCAAATCACACCTCTATTTAAGGTTATAAAACGATCGATGCAATAGTAATACCCAACAAGGAGTCGGGGTCAATTTTCCACAAGGAGCTATGAATGAGACTTAAGGGTATATATTATAGTGTATGAGCTTAAACTGTCTCAATTTACACTTCCACAGTCTTGGGTTGTTTCTAGGTCTAATTTAAACTAAGATTACAAACTAAGAAATAAATAAGGAAATTGTTTTTGTTGTTTTTCAAATGATATAAAAGGTCTAGGTGTTTGCCTAATGGGTTGTAAACTTTAAAGCTTGTTTTATTGGACGGAGTGTATTATAGCTATCAACACTCAAGTACTCACTCAATACCTCTCTGTTAGAGAGTGGTTTTTTCCAATTTGGCTTTCTCAAGTCCAAATGGGTATTGAACAAAACAGTTGATAAAAAGCTCAAGTCGGATTTTACTATCTCTAGTTTCAACCCTTTAATTGGGCTTATCAATCTCTCGATTGACCTAATTTCTTGTTAGTCAAGTTTTTCTAGACTAAGTCTCTCTTTCTCAAGTAGAGACCAAGTTAAAAAGGCATGAACTAATATTTTCAACCATTAATTCTACAATTAAAAGCAAGAACAAGACTAAATAATAAATACCTAACCATAAACAAGCAATAAATCAAATACCTATTAAGATCACACTCTAGGGTTGGGTCACAACCCTGGTAAAAATCTAGTTACTCATGTTTAAAATAGAATAATTAGAAGAAGCAATGATAATTAAACCCATATTGATAATTAAAATGATGAAATCAATGTTCAAAAAGCTCAAAATAGCAAAAACTACCAAAAAGAGTAAAGAACCCGTTACTGTAGCGACTAATGTCAAAACGTGACCTAAAAAATGAAACTCTTCTATTTATACAGGGCTAGAATTTTCAGACAAAAATGCCCTTTCGAAGGTTCTGCGGCCGTACAATTCCATGTGTAGTCCGCACTTTGCTTCAGCTTGACAGGATTGGAAATCTGTGACCGCGTAATTCTGAATTGTGGCCGCACTGCTCTCTTTCTACAGTCTGCATAATAATATTTGCGGCTGCGTAGCTTTGGTTTGTCTTCTCTTGTTGGTCTCCAGTGTGTTGATTCATGTTACTATGATCCTGCTCTATTTTCTGGTGCTGCTTACCTTGGATGGGATGATGTGGTGGTTGTTTAGCTCCAACTGATCCGTGCTTATATTTGGGTTGTTCTCTGCAGAGGCGGAGGAAATAGCCAGCCTTTTCTACATAATTTCCTCTTTCAGTCTTTTGGGGCAAACATGAGAGAGGTGACCAAGGTGTTTGCAGTAAGAACAGTACTCAGGCAAGCTCTCATATTGTACCTCCAACCATTTGCCATCACCATTTACATCTTGGTATTCATCAAAACCAAGCCATACATGAGAGAGTCTATCTTTTGTAAGATCAATTTGCATTTTGATTTTTGCGACACTGCCTCTGGTCTTTTAAAATGATGTTAAGTCCAAAAATAGTGCCTTGCCTACTGAAGATAGCAGAGGGGTACGGATTTCCATATAGTAAAAATATCATGGGAGCTCAGGTATCACCACACACACAAGCACGATAGGAGAGTCTTCATTTGGATTAAGTAGTGGAGACCAGGCTTCTAATTTCATCATCTGACCCTGATATACATATAACGTTTGTTCCAAACTGTTGTATGGTCATACTCATTGTCTAAATCAATATACACTGTCTTGGAATTGAAATAAGCAATCTTCACTCCAACTTTGAGCTCAATATGAGTAATGAAGCTCCTTCTAATGACCTCCATCCTGGGCATTGTGTTGGAAAATTTGCCAACCACAGTATATTGACACCTAGCAGTCAACTTAAACATGTCATCCTTCTTGAATATCACTGCAGGCTTTCCTTGTTTAGTAGTGATCTTGGGAGGGGTAAACTCAATTGGAGTTCTTTCCTGAGCCAGCTTTGCTCTAATTTTGGTTGCAAGTGAATGAGTTATAGTTGGTAGGGGAGGTTCAGGGGTGTTTTGTGGTTTCATGGCTTGGTCTTTTGGTGGGGTAGTTTGTGAGGGATTGGTAGTTGTATGTTCCTAGCTTGGAGGGGTGTGAACAGGTATTTTGGGAGGAGTATATTTGGCTGGACTATCAAAGTTGGCAGATACTTTTCGTTGTGGAGGTTTAAACTGTGTCTTTCCCTGGTTATTTGTATCTTTGGATTTGTCCTGGGAAGTACCATTTGCAGATGGTTTGTTATCCTCATTGCCTGGGATCAAGTTACTTGTGGTGGTGGGGTTTGGGTTAATGGTATCAATTGTAGGTTTGGGTTGGGTCAGTACTTGATTTTTTAATGCTTCTGAAGGTTTGGGTCTAGCATGATCTTGGCTTAATTTTGGTGATAAGTTTACATTATTGTAAGGTTGGTTCTTTGGTTTGGTGTGATCAATTGGCTCAGCAATGTCAACAGGTTCATTTGGGGGGAGGGGGGATCTAGAAGATTAATCAAATCAACTTGATCACCTTGGACTGCTGGGATGCCATTGATGATCTCATGTGAGGCTTGAGAATGGTTCAATGCTTGGTCACCCAATTTCGATCAAATAGTTGTCCTACCATTCATTTGTTGAGCTTCCTTATCATTAATTGATTGATTTTCATTGTCGAGCATCAAAGTGAGCCTATGAAGCTGGTTGTAGCATTTGGTCGAACACTTGGGTTGCTCATTTCAGTTGTGTTACCTTTTTGTAGAGTTGTGGACTTTAGCTGAGTGAAGTCCAGTGGTGTTTGTTGGAGAATATTCTCTATGGCAGCAAGAACAATTTCACTTTGGTTTCGTTCAGTTTGAACAACAGGAACGCCATCTGCGATCAACTGGTGTTCGCCATAGGTTTTCAGTTGGTCGGACCTCTCAATTCCTATTGTTAAATGACTTGAAAATTGGTGGGCATCGACATCTTGACTTGGAGAAAAATCTCCAGCACTTGCATTGACTCGATTTGACCCAAAAATGGATGAAGAATCTTTCTTTCCTCCCATGTGATTATCTGCTACAGTGACTTGCGCACCAAAAGGAAGACATGTAACTACTGGGAGTGAATCTGAGAGTGTTGTTTGCTGGGGGGGGGGGGGTACATTT